TCGGACTAGGTGTGTTCTACTAAGTCGCCCTAACAACAAGACCAAGTTGCGACAACGAGGTCAACCCACTTATATACATCGAAAGCAGACTGTGACCATACCAGAGCCCACAACATCTTCATATCTTCATATTTATTAACTTGCCTTAACATATCAAAAGGCTCAACTCATCATAAGGTTAGCAAAGAAAGAATCAAATTTACTTAGTGTTGTAGATTAAATACGTTTTAATTTCATACTCTCCTTAATCCAATGCTATGAAAGTCCAAGGAAAGAATAGGAGATATAGAAGAAGATATCTAAATTGTGGGATAAAATTATCCCAAGAGAATACTAACCAAGCCCCCTTGATTATATGCTGGAAACAACTTACTTCTAGAAAATCAGGTGATATGTTGCTATAACCGTCTGATCCTCGGTCAAAAGTAGCCGAGACTGGAGACGATTGCAATATTTGATCGGAAGTCGCGGCAGCAAGCGAGGCGATAGAGGGAGAAGAAGGATTTGATGTCGGCGATGCCTGATTATTTATCAATGTTGGTTGACTTCGTCGACTATGATGAGTTCGGCCACTAGGAAGATTCGAGCCTCGTTTTTTATCAGAGTTGTGTCGCTTCAGACGATTCAACTCCATACTAGAGATCAGATTCTGCTGGCATTCGCTAAAGCAGGCTAGTCTGCCATAGAGACTGTTTAGGCCGAGCTGAAGAATATCGATTGACTCAGATAAGCTCGGCGCTATAGCCGAACTGGAGGAGGCACTCGCTCCAAGAGATGTAATAGGAACAGAGGATGAGCCAAAGAGGCTATTACCCTGCTTCTGAGAGCTCGGGTTGGCGAGAAGAACGTCTACCAGTTGGCTGAGCGAGAGGTTGGCTAAACCGGCGAACATTGTCTCGAATGAGTCTATTAGAAACAAAGGAATAAAATTATCTGAGTAGATCAAATGCGTTTTTAGAAATAGTACTAAGCGCTCAAATTAAAATCCAAAGAATATAATACTTGAATGCTTCGAGGCATGGGCAGTCAAACTAGCATAAATGCAAAGCAAGTTAATGCAAAGTTCTTAAAGCAGATAACATCCTGTACTATGTGTAACAAAAAGCAGCATCTAGTTATTGAAGGTTTCAAGAATTATAGTCCTAAAGACCTACAGAGTCTTAACCTGAGCTTCGGAAATCCCTCGTATAAATGAGGAAATTGAAATTCGAATGATCCGAACTATCTGCTCTAGGTGACCATAATTAGCTTTGGTATAAGAAAAGAGTGTAAAATAGAAATTGAGGTTTATCCATACGTATCATAAAAACATAAGAATGACCTAGCCCATATACTACTGGCAATAAATAGCGCCAAATACTATCTAAACAGCAGCAACTACCAAAAGACTAATAAATGCTCTGTAAATGATGGTTTACGGCTTGAATTAAAATATGCTACTAAAGACAAAATTTATTCTACAGCTACTATCAATCTTTCTCAAATTTTAATTTAACATAGCTGATAGTAACAAAATCCTCTATGAAAACAAGCTTATCATTAATTTTGGTATCCTATAAATATAGGATTTATGCTTGATATATATTTTGACCAGTTAAGGGAAGCTTGGTTAAAAAGGGCAAGAAGTACTTAACGTGAAAAAGGTAAAATGCTTACTCAGCTGCGAAAAGGAGTTATCTTGACCAGAAGATGAGTTTAAAAAGGCAGTGTTTGAAGAAGAGACTCTTGGGGTTGCTGAAGTCACTGCCCTTTGGCGCTGTGATGAGGTTGATTGGTGCTGTTGCTGCTGTTGTTGTTGAACTAGACTGTTTATAGACCTTGGCTGGCTGGCCTGACATAGCTGGCGAACAAAGACCATTAAGCGAGTTGAAACTGCAGGAGGTTCCGGATTGGGTGGCAATAAGACTATGCTAGGTGGTTCAAAAGGCTGGTATCTCTGTTGGGGCTGGTTAAAACGATGGTGTAACGGAAGAGGTTGACAAGGCGAATTACGGTTTCCACTGTTT